GGTCAGCTTAGTGCCTTCACTCACACTCATACATTTGCTCCAGTTGCTTCCTAAATGGAAACAGAGGTCTATCCAGAAGTGGACACTTCTGGTTTGCATACTTAGCCAGAAGAACTTAACAACCATTTCAATGAGAAGCAAATCCAGAACTCTAACATCTCATTGGTTTCCCCAAACCTGAATCCCCCTTGTCCCAAAAGCTGAAGTGCCCATAACATATCCCTGTAGGAAAAGGGACTACAGGGGAATGTTACTCTTTCCATGCAGGTGAAGTGCTCTGTTGAAAGTCAGAGGCTGTGATGCCAGCGGAGAGCAGAACAGTAATTCAGATGACAGCTTTCAGCATGCAGTGAGATGGGCATAGACTGGGGGATCATGGTAAACAGTGGGAAGCTCCACCACTGCTCACCTGTACTGCTTTTCGTGCTCTACCCCTCAGGGCACATCAGCAATGTTCTGCAGAAGGTGGACGTGCAGCTCATCCAGCAGGACATCTGCAGTGAGGCCTATCACTACATGATTTCTCCCAGGATGCTGTGTGCTGGGTACCACAAGGGCAAGAAAGATGCCTGCCAGGTGAAACAGGAGTTGCGGGATCAGGGTTGACTACTGGAGGTGGTGTGTGTCCCAAGTCTCCCAAATGTACTACATAGCCTGAAACAAGGGTGAAAAGACCATAAAATGCCTGACTCCCCCAACCCTTCCCCTGGTCTAAGTGGCCAGCAACAGCTCTGAGGACCACTTCTTCCCAGCATCTTTGCCTTAGACAGGATCCAAATACACTTAAACTTCTCCTTTTCTCATTTCAGCCCATTCTCCACTCTTTACCTCCCACTTCCAAGTCTACATCAGTCTCTTCCCTACTCAGCCTCATTAGCATCTGTCACACACAGTAACCTGCATATTCCTTCATTACTATCAATCTCAAGCAATTCCTCTGTCTCCCATCCCTCTGGGTATCCAGTTAAATTCCACCAGCTTCCTTGCTCTCCATATATTTGGAAATGCCACGCGGATCTGTCAGCTTCTTGGGAGCTGGCTAAGGGGGAGGAATTTGCATAATGAAGGAATGCAACAATGGGTCAGATGTTTTCACTGGAGACTGGTTTTGACATCTGCCTAAGGTATAGGGGATTTTGCAGATGTCCCAGGCACAAGTTGAGGGGATACAGGAATCTGCGTACAGAGGGACTCAAAGCTAGTGTAATCATCCAGCAGGAGAGGCTGGTGAATCACCATCACTCCATTTTTCTTTCCCTTTCTCTAGGGTGATTCTGGAGGTCCACTGGCCTGCAAGGAACCCAGTGGCAGGTGGTTTCTGGCTGGTTTGGTCAGCTGGGGAATGGGATGCGCACGTCCAAATCACTATGGAGTATACACCAGGATCACTCAAGTGCTGGGCTGGATGAACCAAACCATGAGCTGAGAAAAGTGCATCTCTGCCTTCTCCCCACCAGACCTACACTTACATGGCACTCATTCCTGATGTTGCTCACTTGCCTCTCAGAGAGAGTTTCTGTGTGGGATGTTGTCAGACCTAGGATGCTCTTCTGAGCAAGGTAAAAAAAGCCTGCACTGGGGACTGTAGAGAAAAGTAGGCAGACCCTCTTCCCCCTCAGTGCTTCCATCCCAAAGTGTTTTTAGGCCATCCATCCAAAAAAGTTGGCAGTGGAGGGGGGAGGAGGACACGACACACAGCAACAGTCCCAAGTTGATTGTTTCTGAGAAAAGGAATAAGGGGAGTTGAACTTTGCATGAACCATGTGATTCAACCACAATCTTATGCTGGAACATTTGCTGAAAGAAAATGTGACTATGTAGTTAGAGATTCCAGTAACTGTGAAATCAATCTGCCTCCCTCTTCCTTCCTGCTGCTGATCCTTCTTCCCTCTTCCCCTCCCATCACTCCTCCTCTTCCATCTCCCTAATTGCTTCTTTTCTTAGCCGGTGTGTGCTGTTCAGTGGACTGTTCAGCTCAGCCAGGCAACTCTTCACGTCTCACTGACTCCCAGGCATGAGTCCAGCATCACACCCCCCAAGCGCGTGTCCTGCCTCGCTGCTGGAGCAGCACCCAGCCGCCACTGCTGCACTTGGACTCCCTCAGGCAAAGGCCCCAGCCCCTCGGTAAAAACATTGGAGCAGCCTCCCATCCCCTTCCCTCAGCCCTTCTAAATACCTTTAACATGAGGGCGCCTCAATTGCTTCTTCCATCTCCTAACTCAGATAATCCAGGAGGTGAAGGCAAAGGCTTAAGGGCACAGTGCTTAACCGTGACTGCTGTGGGTCTGGTTTTTTTACTAAAGATATACATATATATGTGTGTGTGTATATATATACAATGGGCCACTCTCTGGAATTAGGAATAAAATTAATTTGCCGGTTTTTTTGGCTCTAGTTTGCCTTACTCTGTTAAAAATTATCTTGGGGTTTGTATCTTTCTGACCAAACTCCAATCCTGGCACTGGCAACCAGCAAAAGTTTCCACACCCCTGCCTTTCCTCTCAGCTGTGTCCCAGGTGCAGTGGGGTCAATACAGTAGCTAGATAGGTGGTCCTCACTCATTGCTATGATTTAGGGGTGCAGATATGAATAAGCAAACCAGCTCTGTAGCCCAGCTGCCTGCAGTGGGGATGCAGCACAGATGTAGTGGGAAGTACCTCCAGCCCCCAAAAGACAGGCACAGCACAAGCAGCTTCTGGTGGCTCCAGGTGATGAATCAAACTCCTCCAGCTCCCACCCCCTTCTACCAACACCAGATTTATGCCGCTTGAAATGAGAAGCAGG